GAAGAGCAGAGTGTTTCAAATTTCGAAATCACTACACTGTGTCATCACCTATGGAGATAATTACAGTGGGTGGGGAAGATGTAAGGTGTTTTTTCACCTTTTATTTTTTTTTCTGAAAAGGTGAACTTACACGTTAAACCCACTATTGTATTTTTAAATTACATACTTTCATTTTTACTGGCTTTCAAAGTAACAAATGCAGTAATTTAAAATATGCATAAAAGATTTCCTGCAGTTAGCATTTTTATTTGTAAATGTCTAAGAAGAGAAACAACTGTGGAGAAAAGAGAGACAGAGGGATTTAGATTAAATGAGGGGCAGTTGGGAGCTATGTATGTGCTCCAACAGGCAGTTTACAATGTCTAAAGATCCAACAGGTTTACTTTAATTGCCATAGTAAGTATGGCTTTTGTTTGACTGTGATGCCATTGCATAAATATTTAAAGCCATGGTGTCACTCTTGCAAAATACAGTATATTTGGAAAACATTAAAGTCACTTTGAGTGTTTTTCCATGACTGAATTCATTTCTTTCAGAGAAAAAAAAAAACAGCTGGAAAGCTTAATGGCAACAACTTAGGTTGTTCACATACTACCTCTCTGTGTCTGCATATTATACAGAGCACAGTATTATATGGTATACACAATGCCACTGTCTCTTGTATTATCTTTAAATTAAATAGATCAGAATAATGGTAAAGTTAGAGCCTGTTATTGTTTTATTGCACCCTGAAGATGAACTATATTGTTCATATTCTCCTTACCATTACCTTCCCTAAAAAATCTCCTCGTGTCCTCTTCTCTATCTATTTAACCATTCTTAGTCTCTCTCCGGAGAAATTGTTTGGCTACAGAAATCTGTGACAGATTATGTCACTTATCACCATCTTATACAGTAAGTACTAAAATAGCTGCAGAAAGCACACACTGATGATCAAAAAGAGAACAATCCATAATTCATTATCAAGCTCAGATCTCCACTACCATCCTCTCAATGATGAGCTGGCATAAGTTGATGGACGTTAGGGTTTCCCAGCTGCCTCTATAGGCTGCAACTTTTATCTGCATGCAAATTTCCTACTATGGTAGGTGAAATCATGCCCAAAACTTCTTTTGTCTTTTATTAAATTTGCTTACCTTGCACATGAGCTAGTCATATGTGTGTCAATTTTTAGTCAGCTTTAACAATTTCCAACAGGAATCTCAAATATGTAAGCAATTGCCAAAATTTAAGCAATCTACGAACCCAAGAGTGCAACTGACCAACAAAGTTTGGTCAGTTTTGAAGTCAAAAGTGGGCTTAATTTTATTAAATGCACTTTTGGAATGTACAAAATTTAAATTTGATTGATTTTTTAATTTAATTTATTTCAATATAAAGTTGGAATGGGAGCTTAAAGCTCATCTTCACCCTGCCCTCTACCATTTTTTTAATCCCTGCATATCATGGTTTATCTTATGAAGTATGCTTAGTATCCCAAGTAAAAATACAAATAAACCCCCCTAGTGCAAAATAATGACAGTCAAATACGGTGTACCCTTCCCTTATTCACAAACTTCCCCAAAACGCATATAAACATTTTAAACCCCAAAAAGTGTGATAATCTTATGAAATATGCTTAGTATCCCAAGTATAAATACAGATATAATAAGTGCTCAAAACAAAAACAAAAAACACACAAGTCCCAAAATAATAAATTAGTCATTCAAAATCTCAAAATCAACCTCCGGGTGAAGACAGCCTCCAAAGTAATTTCTGAAACCAAAAAAACCTCAAAAAAAAGAAAGGAAAACACACATAGTGTATTATCCTTAACAACTTTAATTATTCATTCCATAACGCATGTGATTCACACAAAAACACTCGTGATCACTATATGGTAAAGTGAATAGATGTGTAAACACGTGCCCATGAAACAATCTAGTGATAAAAAAACTGTGAAAAAACGTGTCCAGACCTCCAGAAATTCTCAGCAGATCCTCTCCTGTGTCTCAAATAGAGATTTCCAGGATCCAAAATGGCCGCTCGATCACTTCTGGAAGGGAAGTGATGTCAGACGCACAGCTTAACTGGAAGTGATCATGCGGCCATTTTGGATCCTGAAAATCTCTATTTGAGACACAGGAGAGGACGTCAGACGCACAGCTGAACCGGAAGTGATCGAGCGCACATTTTGGATCCTGGAAATCGCTATTTGAGACACAGGAGAGTATCTGCTGAGAATTTCCGGAGGTCTGGCTGGGCTGATTTCTTGTTTCATGGCAATTTTAAAGATGAAGATATATGTAAGCACATAAATAAAGTATATTCTGTTTAAGTTTTTAGGGAATTACACTGTTGTGGTTTCATTTATGGTGGGCATCCTTTGGAGACTGATGTGGAGAGGAGTATAATACTGTGGCTGTGAAGATCCCTCTGGAGGAACTTATTGTATATCAGTACCCTGCCTGGAGGATTACTAAGCTTGTGTTTATATATTTTTTTGGTAAGGGTATCTATTTTGCACACTCTAGAAGTGGACACGTTTTTCACAGTTTTTTATCACTAGATTGTTTCACGGGCACGTGTTTACACATCTATTCACTTTACCATTTTTTACCACTTTTCACATGCGTTATGGAATGAATAATTCAAGTTGTTAAGGATAATACACATACATATGTGTGTTTTCCTTTCTTTTTTTTTTAGGTTTTTTTGGTTTCAGAAATTACTTTGGAGGCTGCCTTCACCTGGAGGTTGATTTTGAGATTTTGAATGACTTTGATATTTTGAAGGACTAATTTATTATTTTGGGACTTGTGTGTTTTTTTGTTTTTGTTTTGAGCACTTATTATATCTGTACATATCATGGTTTATCCTCTGCACAATTTAGATACTCTCCCTCCCAGTGGATCCAGTGAGATCCTGTTCTGTTTTGCCACCGCTCAGTCCCACGCTGCCATGTTTTCTGTGATGTCATCACGAGTCACTGGCCTTGCCGGGTACAGCATGTGGGTCTACCAATGACATGTTGCTAGGCTCACCCCTTCCTCCTTTACTGAATGAAGGACAATGCCTTCTGGCATATGTGGCTTGCGTACCCCAGGAGTCAAAGAGCTGTGCTGTTGCTTGGTTGCAGTTCACTCCTGCTTTCCTGGAGCCATATTTCTCATTTTAAGCACATGCTACTGTAACAGAGACATATCTACAGACGTTATTAGCATATTACTGCTCTTTTTTACCTATGGATGGAGATAATAATTATGCCACTATTAAAGGTAAAAGTAGTTTTACATTTTACAGTACTGTTAACACAGATATGTAAATGTGATAACTTGTTTGTACTGGAACATGGGAAAAATAAATTAGTAGCTGCATAAGTAGACAGTGAATAATATGTATTAGTATTAATTAGAGAGGATAATTTCTCAAATTGTTACATGAAATTCCTAGCCTACTTTAGCCTCATCTGGCACAATCTCTTGACTAAGCAAAATGGTATAAATAGGTTTGTTGTTATGATTGGATTGGTGAGAGTGGCCTCCCTCTTCCTTAGCGTAGTTTCTAACCACAGAACATGAAGCCACTTAGAATGCAGAAAGATATTTCAGGATAAACAGGGTGTTTTTTTTTTGTTGTTTTTTGCTACATGAGACCTGTTGTGGAAATTCGATGAGTCTGGTGTTGACTTAAAGTGCTGGTGCATGATAGTTCCAACAGACATGGTGGGGATCTGATGGCATTGTTGGAAAGAAGGATTTCATTTATGATGAAACACTTGTTGACCTGAGGCAGGGGTGGCCATGGGAAGCATGTTGTGAGTACTTTGTATGGTCAACGCTGGCACAGTTTGAAGTAATTTTATCAGAAGAATTGAAAGGGGATGAGGGGTTGAGATGTACAGATGTACAGAGCAAAATAAATTCAGTTTCTATGTCCATAATCACAATCACACAACAGAAGGGAGGGAGCCTATATGGAAGGCCATGTACCAAGTATATTATACCAATGTGTTGTGGGGTACCATGATGGCTCAGTGTTTAATACTTCTGCCTTCCATCACTGGAGTTCCTGGTTAGGACCATATTTGTATGTAGTTTATATTTTCTTCCTGTGCTTGGGTTTCCTTTAGGTGCTCTAGTTTAATTCCACATTCCAAAAACATACCGGACAGTTAATTGGATCCAATCTTATTTGGCACTTGTATGTCTATGTATGGATGTGGGTGGGATAGGGACTTTAGATTGTAAGCTCCTTGAGGGCATTGAGTGATGTGAATGTATTTAGTGCTATAATATCTGTAATATACAGTATAAATAATAACAGAAGTATATAAGGCCATATACCAGAGAGTACTAAAACACAGTGATATGTGTGGCAGAGCAACCACAATACAGTCAAGGTAGAAATTCACCAGTACGTGAGGAAATTATATATTATATTAGATTTATTTAGCCCCAACCGTTTGCTGGTTCCTGGAGGCAGAATTCAAGTTGGCTATGCTGCATCCAGGTGACCTCTGGTGGACATCTTTGGGTCAGCAGAGTCTTTGTAAGTCCTTACCCCTAGGTTTTAGCATGTATTTTGCGAGGTGGCAAGAGTGGAAAACAGCACCCACCCTGCCAGAGAAAGTGATAGTGGCAGGGAAAGGTTCCAGTCGAGAAGGGACAGGCTAGGGATATGCAATCCTGGGATAAGGGATTGGGAACAGACCAGCCAGGCCCCATTTTGTGTTCTGAAGACAGATGCTGTTGGTGCATCTTTTCCCACTGCCTCATTGCTTTGAACTGAGCTTTGAGTGTTGCCCTAAGTGGCACTTTCCCACTGGTGTTGTTTGTAGGTGACATCTGTGTCTTCACCCCGCTGCACCTACCCACATGCTTTAAAAACCACTTGCCCTCCAGAGGATTTACCCCCCTTCCTGACCAAGCCATTTTTTGCGTTACGGCACTGTGTTACTTAACTGACAATTGCGTGGTCATGCAACGCTGCACCCAAATGAAATGTATGTCCAGCGACTTATAGCGGGACTGCGGCGGGCATTCTGACACTGGGAGGAACTGAATTGGTGTCACTGACATCCCCAGTGACACCAATGCAGTGATCAGTGCTAATAAAAAGCACGGACACTGTACTAATGTCACTGGGCAAGAAGGGGTTAACATCTGGGGCAATCAGAGGGTTAACTTTGTGCTGTGTGCTGTTTTACTATGTGGGCTGTGTCTGTGTGCTTCACTGTAAGCACACTGCTTTGCATGGCTGTGCTGTGCACAGCCATGCAAAGCAGTGTGCAGGAGCTAACAGGGAGGAGAACTGTTTTTTTTGTTTACTAACAGTTCTTCCCTGTTGGAGATCCTCGCCAATCACCGGGCATGGGCAAGAAATCACCACCTGTGACCCGGTGATTGACAGCCGTGGTTGTGAATGGCAGCTGTGGAAGGGCGCGCGCCCTCTCTACCCAGAAATGCAAAATCACGCATATATACGTGATTTTGTGCACCCATGCCGTCCTGTAGCAGTATATCTGCTATAGGGCGGATTGTAAGTGGTTAAGCAGGTCAAATGCAGGTCAGAAGGAAGTTGACTGCAGGTCAACTGTACCATTCATTGAATTCTGAATGACGTAAAACTGATATCAAACTGATACCATCCATATAGGCTTAGAGTCTGTCTACAAAGGCCCTACATCAGGCACTGTAAACTGTGGAGCCTTGATACTTGCCAAGGGCCCTTTGGTGATTAAGAGTATGGAGCATTACCAATAGCTGATATAGTCAATGTGTAACTAAGTGCATTAGCTCAAAGCTGGGCCGCGTGAGTATGAGTCAGTGATGGGGCCTTATTTTTACTGAGAGACACAGCATATGGGAGTTTTAAAGTAAGCAAGAAATCTTCTATGCTTTTAAGTAGGGAAATACCATTCTCTGGTGTCTCTGTACACTACACTTGACTATAAGAAATTTCTTAAGTAAAATATTTACAGAACTGTTGAGCTAGCTCAGTCAGTCCCATAGAATAACATAGGATTTAAAACGGAGATATCGGCTTACGGAGATTTTGGTTGTTGTGGTCTGAAAAGCCTCTCTAGTACATCCTGCGCTGGGTATATTTTGTCTGTATAAATTCATCCCATCATGTGGTTATTGTTGGAGTTCAGGGTGCTCAAAAGCCATATTGGTTTTTATTTCACAGATGACAGTATAGAGTATCACAATATAAATCTCCCTGGAGTGATGTACAAGAATATTTTTATTTTTGTGTATTTTGCTTGGACTGTAGATACACATAATAGGGTAGTTGGATCGTGCCTCCCGATAAACATGAGTTGCTTCGTCTAGACTAGGAGTTCCAAGACTACAGGCTATGGGCCACATCTAACTCACTACAAGATTTTATCTGGCCAGCAGCTAGGTCAGTGGTGTATCCTCAATGTGCATAGATTGAGAATTCTTGTCAGTCAGTAGAGGCTGCCTATGGTCTCTTCTTCTCTCCTACCCTGTTGTCTCCAGTGAAGGTTCCCCCCCTCCCCAGCTATACTGTCATCATTGGACTACAGCCTTCCTTGCCCCAGCATTCACAGGAGGAAGAAACGTCCTCAGTACAGACCTGCTCCACCTTCGGACTCCCACCCTGCTACTACAACCACATGCTAAGCCTTGCAGTGGGGCAACTCTGATAGAAACCCTGAGTAATTGGAGAATCGGATGGGGACCCTGATATAAGGGGGACTGTGATAGGGACCTTGAGGAAGAAGGGCTCATTCATTGATAAAACATATATGATGTGGCCCTCTACCTGAAAAGTTTGAAGACTCCATGGCCTACAATAAACTTTGGGTTTATGAGTATGCAGAGGGGAAAAGGAGAACTTTGCAATGCAATGAAATTGGCCATCAGGCAATCCAGTCATTTAGCCTGTGGATACATTTAGTATATACTTACATGGGCAGCACAGTGGCTAAATGGTTAGCACTTCCGCCTGGTAGTACTAGGGTCGTTGGTTCGAATCCCAGCCACGGCACCTCCTGCCTGGAGTTTGCATGTTCTCCCTGTGCCTGCGTGGGTTTCCTCTGGGTACTCCGGTTTCTTCCCACACTCCAAAGACATGCTGGTAGGTGAATTGGATCCTGTCTAAATTGGCCCTAGTATGTAAGCTAGGGACCTTAGATTGTACACCCCTTGAGGGTTAGGGACTGATGTGAATGTACAATATATATGTAAAGCGCTGCGTAAATTGATGGTGCTATATAAGTACCTGAAATAAATAAATGTTCAAATGATGCACAGGCTATAGATGATGTGATTTTCTCTCCTGCAACCACAGGATGCAAAAAGAGAATTGCTTGATTCCACCATAATCACTTTCAGTGCTGATGGGGGAATCCCTCCCTTGGAGCTATTGTGTTCACCCGGCAGGGAGCTATCCAAACCAGAACACAGTGATTACTGCTAGTAGGCTATAGCTGGCAATAATCGCCTACTACAAATCTGACATACTGGTTGTACCCGAGTTGATTGATGGATTGACTTGAGTACAATCAGCCTTCTCATAGGTGGATCGAATCTTGGCTAGTCCCTGTTGAATCGGCTGGGATTTGAGCCATCTATGGCCAGCTTAAGAGTCAAAACTAAGGACACCAGTACTGCAAGAGCCAACTACCATTAGGTATGCTTAGGCATACATACTGATCTACTGAGTAACTGAAATATACACACATATTCATAGTATTGTATTTGTATACATGTTATTCTCCCAAGTGAATTATTTCAGTATGTAGTGCAGTATTTCAGGGCTCGTGCATTTATTTTGTTATAGGTAGAAACACATGGACATACAGTCACTGAGAAGGCAGAGATTAATTACTATCATTTGTTGCTCAGACTAGAACAGTTAAAAGAGACCTGTCATCAGTCAGGCTAAAGGTTCTAATTAATAGTAAGACAGATGTTGAATGTGTCTACAAAGGCCTTGTGTTTGTACATGAAATGCTTGTAAGAGTTAATAGACCTCTGAACCTGAATTAGCTCACTGTCAATAGCTAATTCACTTGTTCTGCAGGGTTGGCCTTACCACCAAAAGCAAACATTCCTGACAGCCTTTATAGGGACACTGACTAAATGTCTATTAAACAGCTAAATAGTCTGGACCAGTCTATTGTTTTGCAACTGCATTTATCAAGTTCATATATTATATCACATTTGGCAGAGTTTATTGTCAGGTCCTTTTTGGAGGGACAACAAGAGAGATGCCGAAAATCTCTACAGTTTAACAGTATATACATTATAACAAAGTTTATTGAAAATTAAAGTAATATTCTAGTGTTTGTTTACTTTTTATTTTTTTAGCGAGGTTTCAAGTTATTGTATTTAGTCAAAAATGGTCTGCTTTGAACTGGATTTTTATTCTAATACATACATAGTTTAAGCCTGTTTCACACTGGTGCGAATCTAATATATTCCAGAATTATTATTATACAGGATTTGTATAGCGCCAACAGTTTACTCAGCGCTTTACAATATAAAGAGAGACAATACAGCAACAATACAGTTCAATACAAGAAGGATAGGAGGGTCCTGCTCCTCGGAGCTTACAATCTAGGATATGCATAGATTCGCATGACAAGAGAGATACCATGGCTTTCTCTGGAGGTCATTCACACATATGCGTTCCAAACGCCATTAGATTTGCAAAAGGTTCCTGTGCATGTTTGGTGTGATGCAGTGCGTTTTTGAGCACCATAGAAACCGCATAGGTGTTCAAATACAATGCAATTTCTGTGTGTGATACACCTTTTTCTAAGCTCACAAAATAAGCCAGAACAGAAATCGCAGTTGTGTAAAATCACATCTGAATAGCTGCAGAATTGCACCACATAGAAATCACACCGCATCAGTGTGAACCAGGGCTAACAGAACATACAGTATCACCATTCAAGTGCTACTTCTCTTTGTCAGTCCCTTCAGCAGCTGACAGTTACTCAGAGAACACTGGCATATTTTTATTCTGTATGGCCATACACGGGATGAAAATTGGTCGGTTCAACAGGAACTGGCCGACTTTTGGCCATGTACAACTTCTTGTCCAACAGAAGTCAGAAGGGCGAGAGGTGCGGTCTCCCTGTCAGAACCCAACAGCTCAGCAGAGAGATTGCTGCACTAACATTGGATGTATTAGTACTGCAATCTGTAAGATTTTTTTCTATCAGCCCTCTGGGTAGAACAAAATAAAACCTCATGTGTGTACCCAGCATTAGATCTGTTACCAGCAGTTTCGTGCAAGGGCCTGCCTGATTAGATTTGATTTAATATAGGTATATAGGATGGAGGAACTCTACCATCAGGAAGAAGATAGAATGGTGAGATTTAGAGAAAGGTGGGAGAAATGGCATAAGTTCAAAGAGGAATTTAAAGAAAGATGGGGAGGAGATAAGGAAGGAAGAAAGAGAAGGGTGCCTTGAGAGTGAAGAGTAAAGAAGTGGAGCAAGGAGAAAATATCAGGGAACAGAGGGGGCCAAGGGAGTGGAAGTGGGTGGGTGTGTTTTTCTCTTGTTTTTTAGAGGTATTGTGTACTGTTTATTTATTTCAGGTACTTATATAGCACCGTCAATTTACACAGCACTTTACACATATATATTGTACATTCACATCAGTCCCTAACCCTCAAGGTGCGTACAATCTAAGGTCACTAACTTACATTCATACATACACATATTAGGGCAAATTTGGACAGGAGCCAATTAACCTACCAGCATGTCTTTTGGAGTGTGGGAGGAAACCGGAGTACCTGGAGGAAACCTACGCAGGCACAGGGAGAACATGCAAACTCCAGGCAAGTGGTGCCGTGGCTAAGATTTGAACCAACGACCCTAGTACTGCCAGGCGGAAGTGCTAACCCTTTAGCCACTGTGCTATCCTACTGTTGAATATTTTGGAATTTTTTTAACAATGTAATGTGATTTATTGAAAATTAATAAAAATTAATTAATAAAAGGTCTTCATATTACATTAGATTTAGAGTGGAATTAAACCTAACTTGTAGAAAACTGCAAACAGGCAGTCTTTATTACAGAAGAGACATGCTACGTCTCTTTACTTACCTGTCTTCTCGCAATTTTCTACTGAATGAGCAGCTCACCATGCATTCTCCAGCTGTGCCAGAACAAGTGACTCCTGTGCACATGTGCGGAATGACGTCATCCTCCGCCGCCAAAACAAAAGGTTGAAAACCCAAAACAAGATGACAGTGGCCAGTGACAAATATAACCGCAGCATTGCTGGAAGGTGGAGGCAAGTACATTCAGTAGTTTAGTTCCGCTGTATTAAATCTCAAGTTAATTGTACATAGATTCTATGGTCAGATTGAAATGTTTAAGGTGATCTTTTGTACAAAAAAAATCTTTAGATTTACCAAAACTATGTAATAGGAGGACCTACCTAAACTATTCAATCAATTTGTATCCAATCAGGCAGGTCCTT